CCTTCAAGAACATTCAGTTTCGGAAAGATTTCAAACTCGAATTTCAATCAACAAACACACACACAAAAACACATGGCTTCGCAATACTGAGTTTCTAAAAAAACTTGCGCGCGGGCTCTTGCGAAAGCTTAAGAAAAAACCATCGTTTCAACAACAAATGAATTTTCAAGCAACTGCTACCAAACGGGCTTCGCGCGCGCATGCCGAAATCTTTCGAACGCCCTTGCGCGCGTGCCGTCGCGAGAACCCTCTGCAAAAAATGCGACGAATGGCAGACGCGCGCGTCGTCGCGCGCGCATGCCGCAATCCTTCAAAAACCTTCGGTTTCGGAAGGATTTCAAAATCGTGCGTCCAAAAAACAAACAAAACACAAGGTTTCGCAACACGGATGTTCAACGAAAGCGTGACCGCGCGCTCTTGCGTCGTCGTCGCCGTCCTCCCTCCTCCCTCGTCGTCGTCGTCGTCGCCGTCGTCGTCCTCTGTCTTTCCTCGTCGTCGTCGTCTTGGCGTCGTTGTCGTTTCCGTCGTCGTTGTCGCCGTGGTCGTCCTTCTTCCCCCGTCGTCTTCGTCGGCGTTTCGTCGTTGTCCCTCCTATTTCGTCGCCGTCGTCGTCGTCGTCTTCCCTCCTCCCTAGTCGTTGTCGTCGTCGCATTCGTCTTCCTCCCTCCTCCCTCGTCGTCGTCGTCTTCGTTGGTGACGTCGTCGTTGTCGTCGTCTTTGTCGTCGCCGTCGTCATCGTTGTCGTCGTCGTCGGCGTCGTCGTCGTCGTCGGCGGCGTCGTCGTCGTCGGCGGCGTCGTCGTCGTCGTCGGCGTTGTCATCGTCGTCATCGTCGTCAGCGTCGGCGTCGTCGTCGTCGTCGAAGTCGTTGGCGACGTCGTCGGTGTCGTCGTAGTCGTTGTCGGCGGCGTCGTCGTCGTCGTTGTCGCTGTCGTCGTCGGCGTCGGTGTCGTTGCCAAGTGCCATTTGGTACCCACCGTCACGGTCTTAAGAAGTCGTGCGACCAAGTTGCGGGTGGGAGGGTGGGATGTTTGCACGAGCAGTGTAGAGGACAGCTTCAAGTTGAGCAAGTGATTGAATGCACAACATTAATTGCACCAAATGGATTGCACAACCTAGATTGCACCACAGTGACTGCAAGAAATCAATGTTTAGGGTCCACGCTGGCTCGCATCCTTTAGAATGGCCGAAGCCACCCGAAACTCTCCGAAAACCTTTCCATAAGGGTTCCGCAGAGGTTGTCCGAGGGTTTCGGTCGGTTCGGGGAAACTAATCCCGAGCGGGCCCTGGACTTTCTCTGAGTAGTGAGAAGACGTTGAATGCCCATGAAGTGTCGGAGCTCCGCGCGGCTATCTGGGATCGGCTCTGAACCCTCTTACCGGCGCGCGGGGCGTGCCAGGGGCGGCGCCAGAGGCGCCGCCAGGGGAGCCCAGCGCTGATCCAAGAATTCCGCGCGGACCTCGAAACAAATAACTGTTTACGCATGTGTTTCTTCTTCGGGCAACGGAGTCGCAAGGACCGCCCGTTGACTCACAGGAGGAAGCCCTGTCACTCCCACAGATACTCTAGAAGCAAGGAAAGGGCGTGCCGCCCTAAAGGACGCGAGGGCCGAGGGCTTGCGTGTGGCCAGCCCCCAGGGTGGACAGAACCCCCTGTGAAAACGACGTGGGTGGGACCAGACCCGGCGGGCGCAGGCTCGCAGAAATTGCGGCCGCTCGAGAACCGAACAAAGGCACTTCCCTAATCGACTTGGCAAGATGGGGTATCTATCAACCTCCGCCCCCAACAAAAACACTCTACGTAGTGATTTTGTTCACGGCGTCGACCCGAAAGGTCTGCCGCCCCATCATCCCCGGGGTCGGCCTTCCATCCTGGATAATTCTGTTGACGCTCCTGTGAAGGGCCCCGGAATCCGAAGCCGGCCAAACAACTCTCATCATGATTTTTCCACAACGAGAGTTGGGGGCCCCGGCCGCAAGAAGCAGTGAGGGTGCCAACCCCTCCCTGCATGGCAAGGCTTTGGATTGCGCGCAGACCGCCCAACAGGTAGTTCCGGCGGGCCGCTGGCCTCAACAGGCTCCCCGAGTCGCCCAGGACGGTCTGAACAGCCTGGCGCCGCCTCAGCGGCGCCTGGAGCACCCCAGGGACGCTGCCAGAGGCGGCGCTAGAGTGTTGAGACCGCTCTGGGCTACTCGGTGGGCCTGTTAAGGCCAGCTGGGGCTACTCAGGGGCAAGAGGAGGCCCGCCAGAACTACCTGGGGGGCTATCTGTGCGAAGCCCGAAGCATTACCAGGAAGGTTCGGAGGATCGCGCCGCATCTCCAACGCACCGCCGATGCATTGGCGATGCATCGGCGCCTTCGGCGTGGGGCAAATCGCTGACTCGACATCGAGCCGCATCGGCGATGCGGCGCGATCCTTCGACCCCATCTACTCGGACCCATTTGGGAGGCCTACGGTCGGGCTTTTGCTTTGTATGTCGGCGGCGGCCCCAGCGACACGCTATGCCTTGCAAGCGGATAGCGCGTCGCTCCACTCCACGGGGCCACGGGGCAGGCGCGGCTGGACAAGTCACGAGCGGCGAACATATCAATATCCGCACCCTCGCGGTCTGGATTCCGGGGCGAGATCCCGTACCAATACGTCTTGCGCGGGGCATCCGCGAAAAAACGCCCAATATCTGCGGGGCCGCTGCCGAGGGACCCGGCCCGCGAGGCCGCGGATACGGATCTGTCTACCCCCACGGGAAAGGATCGGACCGCTGATGCTTGGGGACTGGAGCGTGGATAGCGGATAGCGTGTCGCGCCGAAGTGTGGCGTGCCAGAGCCGGCGGAGCGACACGCTAAGCCAAAGCTCCCGACCGTAGAGTAGGAGGGTGCTGCTGCTCCACGAGCTGGGCGGCGGGCGAGGTGGGGACTGCGCCTTCTTGCCCTTCCGCCCGCCCCGCTTGCTCCCGCGCTTCCGCCCTCCTGTGGCCGCGGCGTCTGGCACGGTCGCGCGGGGCAGTTCAGCTCCAGGCGGTATCCCTTCGCAGTTCCTGAAATGACGCATCCCTCCGGACGCCAGGGCCTCACCTCGGTGTCGCCCGAAACCCTTGTTGCAACAACAGCCTAGTTCCACTGATCACTCCCGGCACACATTTGTGGAACCGACATCGCAGGAAAAACAACGACACCATAAACCAATCTTCAAGGGCAACCACCCCTTGAAAATAGCATCGACATCTCGGCGAAACCGGTAAACCTCCGCCTGCGAAATTTTGACAACGGCCGAATCTCGATAGACTAACCGCTCGGTATGTGTTAAGAACAAACCGAGAGGCTGAAATCGACAACACGTAAACGAGAAAACGTTGTCTGAATACATAGACATGAATTTGCGGTGCAGGGGCACTTTATTCAAACAATAAGACATATGGTATGTAAACTAAATTTCGCGTTCATTTCCACTCCGCTTTAGTTTCAACACATACAGCTATGTGTGTGCATGTATGCATATATGGTTTCAAACACGCTCTTTTCTAACGTCCTTATGAATGTTCGAACGGTCATCGCGCGAATAGGAATTATAATGTACTGTGCCTTCACTCAATGCGGCTGTGGCCTGGATCTCAAAACTTTCACTGATTTACGCCGTTTCGTTCGTCACAGAGGCTGGAGAAACTTGAAAGACGCTCCGCAACTGCGCAACTCAAATCAAGCAATTCGCGCAGAACTCCCGAAGGCACCGCGGGCCGCGAGAGAGGCCAGGAGAGGTCCACCTGCCCGTTCAGGGGGCCACGACCCACAACAGAGGCCCGTCCTGAGGGGTTCGACGGTGCGCCTACCGTCGTCGTGCAACCGCCGCGCAAAGTTTGACAACGCTGGGCTGCCCTGAAGGGTTGAACGGCCCCGGAAAAAAAAATCGACAACGAAATCTTGGATCCGACTGTCGCCCCAGTCCCGCAGCGACTGCCAGGACTGATTCCCGCTGCATCCACTTTGGCGGCGCACGCAAGGGGGTAGGGGGAGGGACAACAATTTCTTAGAAGGAGGCTGCTTCTTGGATGACGCCAGTCCTACATCTATAGACAAGACCCGCGCCTTCTCGGCAGCAGGGTGCTTCTCAGAAGCATTCCCTCCTTCCTCCTGCCCTTCTCTGCGCGTGGCTGACCACTTGGCCCCCGCCCCCCCGCACCTCATGGTGTGGGGCGCGGCGCTGCCAGGGTGCAGCTCCGGCGCGGGCGCGGCCACCGCGGGGGCCGCCGCGCGGGCCTCGGGCCACCGCTCTTGCGCCCACTCTTGCGCCTGCTGCTGCTGATCCTCCGTCCCCCCCTCCTGGGCCTGTTTCTGTGGCAGCTCATGGGAGCCTCCCGCGTCATCTTGCTGGCTCTTGCGAACCGACGCTAATCAGCGCTCAGCCGTCGCTTTCTCATCGATTAGCAGACGCTAGCGCACGATAGTGCACTCCGAAGACGCAATTCCGAGGACATTCAAGGACCCCAGAGATGCTACCGAATTCGGTGAGCTGTTCGCACTCGGCGCTCGAGGATCGGGCAAGAGGAACAGTGGATGTCGTTGTTCGGAGGCCTCTGGGAACGTTTCGGGGACCTCCGGGGGGGGAGGATATGGGGCGGAAGCAAAACTTCGCACCCCCGCGTTCCCTTTTTTATATGGCTCCAGCTGCGAGTGAGCAGTAGCACAGACTGACTGAGCTAAATTGGTCGGGATAAAAAAAAACGACAGAGCAGCAGCGACCATCTCTGACGGAAGCTGAATCTTTGCAAAAACTATACTTCAGCACGCACCCTCGTCGAGCACACCATTTTACTACCAATTGAGACGAATGCCTGGCGCCCGTATCCAGTGGATCGCGGAGGACGCCACATACAGTAAGACTACCAGGAAGCACCTCGCCGCGAAAAAAGGAAGGCCGCACTGAAGCCAGGCGCACGACAATGCGAATAATACTCGAGAAAAGACGTGGCACGGCAGGGTGCTTGTACCACGCCGCAAAACACAGCTAGAAATCGAAGTCGGAGAGGTCGCACTCGTTCAGCAAACCGTCATCCTCGGAGTCGCAGGCCACGACTCGAGAAAGCGACAGCCCTTTAGCTGAAGGCGTGGATGTAGAGGGGTCCGCTGCTGCAGCCGAACCGTTGGCGAAAAGCAACCCCTCGCCAGGGTCGCGCGGCAAGCCCGCGGGCACCCGCGCGCGAGCAGCGGCGCCAGGACCTTCACCATCAGCATCGCGATGTGCAGCAGCGGCAGGGGCCGCGGCCGCGGGCAGGGCAGACATCCCCCACAGGGGCCAAATGATTGCCGCAGGGCCCGCGGGAGGCGGTGGTAGCGGCTCCCGAATGTTCGCCACGGGGACGAACACAGGCGCATCCTCGCGCATGGCCGACTCCACGGTCGGTCGGCGCGGCTGCGGCCTCGACCACGGCGGAGGGGTCCAGGGGCTGCCACACGCCTGGAGCAAGAGCCTCCGCACCAGAACCGCACGCCCAGGAGCGGCCCCGCTGCATGGCGTTGAGCCCTCGCTGGGACGCCTCCGCAATAGCCACCGCGGGGACGTCGAAAACATGGGCGGCCGCGTTGCGCTTCATGCGCACGACTATGGGCACCTCGACGTCGTGGATCTGGGTCTGCAGCGCGGGAGCAATCAGCATGAGCCGCGCCTGCATCTCGTCTGTGATTTCCACGCGGAAGGCCTGCGACTCCATCTCCAGCCGCGCGATGACCAGCTTCGCCGTGGCCAGCTGGGCCTGGAGGTGTCGGATGGCAGCATCCGCGCTCTCCCGAGCCCGTCGCACAGCGGCCGTCCTCTGCGCCCTGCTCCTCCGTGGGTCGCCTGCGCGGCAACCCGTCCCGTGAGCCACTTGCATGCCCCAGGCAACCGGCGCCATGAGCTAGCACATAGAGCCAATCTGTTGGGGGCGCAGCGGCTTGAGCCAAAATGGCTACGGGCGCGTTCCCTCCTTTCTCCTCCTCCGTCTCCGTCTTTGACTCTGGGGGGCGTGTGCTCAGGGGAGGATGTAGCAGCTCTCAATGATGTGCTATCGACCGAGCCTCCAGGGTGGGCCGTGGGCCCTGCGTGGCCCTTTTCATTGCCAGATCTTGTCTGTGCATAAACTCTGGCTCCGTCTTCAGCTGCGGGTGCACTCCGAAGCGCCTTCGGGCCTGCCTGCCCGAGTCGTCTTCTCCTCTTGCACGGTTGCCGCTCAGCTCCTCCGTCCCCCTCCCGTTCCCTCATCCTCTTTCTTCTCCTCCTGCTGTTTCCACCGTTCTCCGCTGTCTCCCTCCTCCGCCTCGGTTTTGCCTCCGACTTTCCAGGATCGAAGGGGAATCGGACATCTCCGGCAAGTTCTTGAACGCTTCTGCATCAAAGTCGTCTGGGGGTCAGGCTCCGGTGCCGAAGCAAAGGTTACAGTCCCCGTGTAGTCTCCTGCCGCCTTCTCCGTCTCCCCTCTCTTTCCCACCATTCTGGTCCTCCTCATTCTCCGCCCTCCTCCTCCTCCTCCTCCTTCTCCTCCTCCTCCTCCTCCTCCTCTACCTCTCTTTCGTATCAGAAATCTGGTCACCCCCACTCCTCGTGGCACCACCAGTCAGGGCGTGTCGCCCGAGGATTCCCCCCTTTGCATGGCGACCACCTTGGACACGCTGTACTGTCCTGAGCCTTGGGAGGTTCGGCAGCTGCACGGACGGAGGGCCGGTCGCTCCCCAGACTTGGCTAGCAACTTGCAGCGCTTCGGGTGCAGGGCGGCCACCTTTTCACAGAGAGGCTCTCGCTGCGGACTCCCTCCACGTTCGTGTCGCGAGCGTTTGAAGTTTTACTCGCTCGTGACTTTCTCAGAGCCTGTCCCGGCTCATGAACAATCATGCAGACTGAAGATTTGTTTTTCTCGAGGGGCGCTTGCTTCACATTAGTTAGTGCACCCTGGGCTCACTCTTGTCCTTCGTCCTCCTCCTGGCCCCTCGCCCTCTTCGCCCCCCCGTCTCCTTTTTCACGTTGCACGGGCTCTTATCGAATCGTCCGTCTCATCCTCCTTCTCCTCCTCCCGCCGTCCTCTTCCCTCTCTCTTGTCCTCCTCCTCCTCCCCCCCCGCTCAAACCTCCTCCCCCTCTCAAACCTCCTCCCCCTCCACCTCCACTTTGGCAAGGGGTGGGTGGGGGTGGGCCGTTCTTCGCCCCGAACTCTACGGCGGGGCTTGAAGGGCGGCGCGTCGAGGATACTGCGAGGCGCGGCTTCTACTCCTCCTCCTCCTCCTCCACCTCTTCCTGCTCCTCCTCCTCTTCCTGCTCCTCCTCTTCCTTCTTCCTGCTCCTCCTCCTCCTGCTCCTGCTCCTCCTCCTGCTCCTGCTCCTCCTCCTCCTGCTCATCCTGCTCCTCCTCCTCCTTCTCCTCCTCCTTCCCCCTTTTCCTCCTCCTCCTCCTCCTCCTCCATTCCATTTCCTTATACACAACTTCTCCCTGTTGCACCCCGAAGCCAGTTTTCAGGGGGGGAAGGGCGTTTCGCCTGAGACTGAAGCTTAACCATTGGCAACCATTTCACACATTGAGGGCGGGTCGGTTTCGAAATGTGGCTCTCGCCTTGGCGCCGCGCACATTCGATTTTTTACATTTGCATAAGTTTCACGGGTTGAAGGCGAATGGTTTCCAAACTGTGGCTCTCGCCTTAACGCCGTGCACGATCGTATTAAACAATTGCAAGAGTTTCACGGATTGCGGGCGGTTCCTTTTCAAAATGTGGCTCTCGCCTTAGCGCCGCGCACATTCGACCTTCAACTTTGCAAGAGTTCCACGGGTTCCCATGATCAGCGTACCAAAAATTACGTTTTGGAAGGATGCAGGATTATAAGGGTGCAATAGTTACGTTGGTTCGCGGTGCTGAATTCCCAGGAATGGCGTTCTGGCACGACAACCAGGAACCATGCTCCTCCCCCCATTATCAGTGTCAAGAATAATACAAAACGCACGTTGCCTCCACATTTGGAGCATGCGCGGCCAATCCGATGCGCCCTCACCCCCGCGTCACCATCCCTGTCAAATGCAATGCGAAGTACACTTTGGGGCAAAGTCTTGAATCATGTCCGCGAGGCCCGCGAGCACTTTGTATTGTGTTTGACAGGCGCGGCGGGGGTAACAGCGTATTGCCTGCTGCGCGCAAGGCTACCACCCCGAGCAAAAACAATACAAAATGCACCTCGCGGTTAAATCTGGATCATGTACGGCCACCCCGCGATCGCTGTCAAGCGGTTTTTGGCAGGGACGGCGGGGGGGTGGCGCATAGCCTGCTGTGCGCAGGCCCACCAGACACAATGATGGGCACTTTCGATCAGGATGGTGGGGGCCGACATGTCTCCCGATGTGTGCTGTCACGTGCACCTGACACACTCTGCACGTGCCCCAAACGTGGCGCACCTGCGACTGGAATATGCGGCACACCTGGCGCACGCGGAGCACGTGGCGCATCTGGCGCACCAGCCGTGCCTGGCACGCTCGGGCCCCACGGGTGCCTGGCGCGCGTGGCGCGCCTGGCACGCGTGGCGCACCTCGCTCCAGAGTCGCGCACATGGGGTCTGTTTTGGTTCCCAGTAGCTGTCCATCCAAAGACGACCGCTGAACATGCTCAGGCTCGGGTGTTACTCATGTGTTGGGAGGGCGGGTGGGAGTGAATTAGACGGCTTGCTGCACAGATGTGACCCCCCCCCCTTACCCCCCCCTGGGCCTGGGAGGGGGGGCCGCGAGGCATTAGAGCGCCTAAGATGGCTCCAAGAGGGCCTCAGAGAGCCCAAAGTGGCTCCCAAGATGGCTCAAGATAGCTGAAGATGGCTTAAAATAACCCCCCAAGAAGACAACATTGCTCCCAAACCACAGGAATATAGTTGTTTGTGTTTCGTTCTCGCCTTTTCACTTCTGATGGGCATCCGAAGCGTCAAGATGGCCCCAAGACGGCCCAAGAGAGCCCCAAGAGGGGCCTAAGAGGGCCCCAGGAGGGCCCCAAGAGCGCCCAAAAGCACCTCAAGAGCGACCCAAGAAGGCCCCAAGAGGCTATGTTTGAGCGTCCGATGGGGGGAACCTGAATTGAGGACCTCCCTTCTTGTGAGCAACGGGGGCCAAGATAGCCCCAAGAGGGCCCCAAAAAGACCGCAAGAGAACCCAAAGATGGCTCAAGAGACCACCGAGAACCTCTCGCAACAACGCTTCAAATCGCCTGGCAAACTGTTTCTGAATGGGCTGGTGTGGATGACTTTTTTGGGGTCGCAGCCGCAAGCGAAGGCGCAGGCGGCGTCAAAGGTCGACCCGGGCTACGGACGGAGCCTAATTACCCAGCGAGCGCACTCGCGGCTGCCGAGGCTGCCGCTGGGGGAGGCTGAGTGGCGCCGGGGGCTGAAGGCTGGCTGCAGAAACTGCCAGGAGAGCCAGGCGGCCAGCGTGCAGGCAACCTAGAGGCGCTGGTGTGGATACTTTTTTGTCGCAGCCGCAGGCGAAGGCGCCAACAGCGGGTCGAGTCGGCTCGGGCTACGAGCGAACCTAATTGCCGGCGCGCGCGCAAAAGAAAGCATACCTACCGCTGGGGGAAGCAGCTGCGCCGGGGCCGTGCTGCAACCGCCGAGGCTGAGAACCAGCGCCGAGGGTGGGGACTGCAAGCTGCTGGGGCTGCCAAGAGGCTGCGAATTTGCGGGTGCCATGGGAACTAGATCACCAGGTACGTGAATTGGACCTTGTCGCCACAGGGCGCCAGAGGTCGGTGCGCCACGGACGTGGCGAAGCGCGGGACGGCATGACAGCCCAGCGAGTGACAGCGGACCGACGGGGGACGCGCGAGTCCGTTCAAGAAGGCCGAACCACTCGCTGAGTGAACCAGCGGCCCGGAACCCCAGAGGGCCAGCAGCACTGACAGACACGGCCAACTGTGGCAAGGACTGAGCTGGTGTGGAAACTTTTTTAATCAGCGGCCGCGGGCGAGCACGCCGGCGGCGAGTCAGATTGCTGGTGTGGATATTTTTTGTCAGCGGCCACGAGACGGCGGTCAGGCGGCAAAGGCAACGTCCGGGCCGCGGGCGAAGTTAATTAGCTACAGCAGGCACAGGCCGGCCGGCCCGCTCACAAAGCAGCCGCGAAGCTGAAGGGGAGCAGACGGCAGGGGTACCCTGAGAGCTCGAGCGCGTGCACTGACAAAATGCAATGGACTTCGGTGCCAGCCACAGCCTGAGACGTGAACCAGGACAGGATGGCCAGGTCCGTCAATCTGAGTGGGGGCAAGAGGGAGGCCGGTGGAGTGAGTCGCAGGTGGGGCGCCAGACTCCAAACGCCCACGACGACGTCTGCAAGCCAGGGGGGCAGGACTGTCGCGAAACGTGGTGCAACGCACCTGCCGGAAGCTGGTGGATGAGCCTGGGGCGCTGTACCTGCTGCGGAAGGCTGAACCACTCCGTGGCGACACCAACGCCCGAAAGACCGCCCCACAGTGCATGGGGAACCAAGCGACTGTGGGCCACGCAGCGCGTGCCGGCACGGCGTCAGGCCTCAGAGCGAGGGGGGGGGGGACCAGCTGGTGCGGTGAGCATCGCCAGCGGGGG